GTATTCGTAGCGCACGTTAAGTGCGAATAAATTATACGTTTAAGACATGAGTCGGGAATCAAATCAAAGAACATATTCATAACGAACTGACGCCCGGATATGACGTCCCGTTTCGGGCCCTCGTATTCGCCGAAGAAGTCCACCAAATGAGTGGCCGAACAGATCTTCTCCTCAAATAAGTCATATTTGTTGAAGAATAGGATTACCGACGAGTTGTGGAACCACTCGCACGTGACAATTGTCTTGAATAGAGCTTTACTTTCTTGAAGGCGGTTATCATTGGATCCGTCTCTTAAGATCTGATCGAATTCACTGATCGCACAAATGAAGATAATGGATGTGACGCTCTCGAAGCAGTGGATCCATTTGCGACGTTCAGACCGCTGTCCGCCGACGTCTACCATACGGAAGATAATGGATTCGTAGACAAACGTGTATTCATTGATGCCATTAGTGGGCGCCCGCGCTCTCAAGATGTCCTGTTGTGTCGGCAGATATTCACTGCAAGTAATCCTATCGATGTCTGAGATGTAATATTTGGCCGAATCTGTCAATTGGTATTCATTTCTTCGACTAAAGCATTGCTGAACTCCAAAGTCGGTCCACAACTCTTTGATGGCGTCGACGATATGTTTGTCCAAAACAAACATCAATTCAAAGTCAACGCTTAGAATGAGTTGTGAATACAATTGACAAACACTGGACTTGTAGTGAATATCCAAAAGTTTCATTGCATTCACAATGGATTGCATCGCAGATAATATATTGTGATGAATGACACGAATGTAAGCCCTCTTCTCGTCGTCGGAAAAGTCTTTTTCGTGAATAATTCTCATTTGTTTAATGAAAGTACTTTTGCCGGACTCTCCCGTCCCCAGCAATAACAGCTTCAACTGTCGCCTCGAGTTTCGTTTGTCTTTCTTAATCTCGGTTTGAATTTTTTTGTTAATCTTTCTCTCGACACAACTCTCTTCACTTCGACAGCAATCCATTGCATCAAACATTGCATTTCATACTAACCACTGTCTGGTCGAGTGCCACACAACTACTGTATAGTCACTATACTATAGTCTGTTTATCACTGTATTATTGAGTCTGTTTTCCAAGACTTACATCCAATAAAGTTATATAACTTACATATTATGTATATTTATGTGTTGAGTAAACAAATAGTAAAACTATTTCATTATTTGTATCACTTTTTGTAGCACTTTATATGCAATAAGAAATTTGACGAAATAAATTGAATCTGTTTTATAGCATCGCTTTTATAGCACACAGAATATTATATCTAATTCCGAGTTATTTTCATCCCTTTTCCATATAAACAACTTAATTAATGGTTTTTATGTCAAAACACTGAATGTCAACTAACTTTTATTTCTATTGTATAATATAAATAAGGTTTCAATCTTGTTGTCGTCAGTAATTTCTTAATCGCGTTTATTTCCAACCAATTTATTAATGTTTGGGAATATTGAGACAAACCATTCAATATATTAAATCCCTATCCCTTTTGAAGTGCATACGAACCCAATATGAAGTAATTGCAAATACATTTCTGGATTATGTTACTTTTAATATAATTATTGAAATTATATTCAATTATATTACGATAAATTAATAATTGATATTTAAAATATCGAATAATATTTTTAACCACAATTCAGATATGAATAGTGTGGTATATAGGTTCGTTCGGTCCCCTCTCGCCCCCTCTCTATGGGATTTAACATGGGATTACAGCTTAAGTCTATGGATATACTTTAACATAGGGATAATGTTATCCTATGGGTAATGTTAAAGCTATGTGACTAATTTAAAATCCTTGACATAGGTTTAACATGAGTAATGCTAAGTCTACGGACAATGCTAAGTCTATGAGCTAATGTTAATTCTATGAACAATGTTATCTCTATGGCAATGCTAAAGCTATGGGATTTATATTAAATCTGTAGATAATGCTAATGTATTCTCTGACTAGTGAGCATCGCCCGAATTGTGGCTAACGTATAGCATCGCTGTGTGTGAGTTGTTTTAAATAACATTTTAATGATAATGAAGATTTTCATAACTAATGATTTAATTCTTATTATTAAATGATGTATTTTTAAATATGACGGCAACTCTTTTATTGCACTAATTTATTATTCATGAATTAAAGCTCATCCTTGAGAAGAGTATATCTATACTCAGACGGCGCCAACTTTTTGAACACAGAATCGGATGCAAATGTTAACTAAACAAACAATTAATCCAAATATTAAAATTTGCGATATAAATGTGAGAACATGACTGACCCCTTCTGATAGAGTGTCGCCCTCCACTTCTTCGCCTTCAGTGGTGGCATCGGATTCATGTTGGCTGTCATCACTTCCATCTCCTTTCCCTTCCGTATTCTCAGTCTGTGTTTCGTCTTCGGGTCCAAAATGAAATTCTCGGTGAAGTTTTCCTGAATGTAAATCTGCGATAAATTTTGCAAAAACACCAGTTTTGCTACAAATACAATTATTATAAAGTATACAAATCTTATTCAATAGATATGTATTAAGACAATTTCATTATCAGCATAAAGTACACTATATACTGTATACAGTATAATAATACAAATTATAGAATTTTTAGAATTCTAAATGTAACTATGCTATTTCTTAAATAAAAAATATTAAAATTAATTAAATATAAATAAAAAAAATATGATTAATTATGTTAATTGTTGTTAATGTTATTATTACTTACTTTAAGTCGGCATAATTGGGAAACAAATACATGTGTTTGAAGCTATCGATAGCAATGATAGGCAAATCCTGTTTAGTTCTGTTCACGTGTTCCAGCGGGTGATCAAAGAGGTCCGCGTCTGCGGTCACGAAGTTGACGGTCGATATTTCATTGATAAGCTCTTTATGAATGACATCTTTATAGAATTGAGGGCTTTGTTCGTCAGTCGGCAGATGAAAAAGTATAGCTAATGGCAGCTCTTCTTCGATGATTTCCTCCGCGTTTTCAAACGTGATTTCTCTGACAATAGGAATGCACTGATATGTAGCCCAAGTGCTCAACTCGTCGTATGTTTCAAATATAAGATCATATTCAGACTGTTTGGTACTTTTGGATGATTTAAATGCAAGCAATTCTTGTTTGTCTTCGGGAATGAATGGCGAATTTGTAACCCAAAAGAATTCATCAACTCGTCGTATGTTTCAAATATAAGATCATATTCAGACTGTTTGGTACTTTTGGATGATTTAAATGCAAGCAATTCTTGTTTGTCTTCGGGAATGAATGGCGAATTTGTAACCCAAAAGAATTCACAGAATCCGCGCAAATCTGCGGCAACTCTTCTGAATATACTATACTTGGGATGTGTGTCGCCGTCTTGTCTGTAATATCCAATTACGGCCGACTTGTTGTACATAATGTCCGTTAAATGAGTGTTAATTTTGTAATCAATGTGAACGACCGGATCAGATAATAGGAGTCTTATATATTTGACAATTGCTTCTTGAGTTCGCGGTCCTCTATATTCCTTTTTCATAGGCTTTCCGTTGAGATAAACCTTAAGAGTCGGGTATTTAGTGATTTGATTGCGCGACGAAAGGGTTGCTGTAATTAGAAATAATATATTTTGATTGTATTGATATAAATAAAAAGCGCGAAAAACACGATCACCCCGTGTAGATAAAAGTGTGGAATTGGTCTTATTATTTAAGGTCACATTCCTAGGCACCAGAATTTGAGTTTAGTTAACTTTGGATAATCAGTATATTATAAAAAAAAAATTTAATGTATCACAATTATTCTAATAAATTCACACCAAAATATTTTATCAACAATAATTGTTATAATTATTATATATAATTTTTAAAATGAATAACATTACCGTATATGCTTGAAGTAATCATTTAGTTATTAGAACTAATAGTTATCCGACAGCAGTTTAAAGTAGTTATAATTAAATTAATTATAATGGGAATAATGTGCAAACCCATCAAACAGAGGCGGCCAATCGGGTAGATTATCGATAATTACGTGGTCATCGTTTGGCCGCCGGTCAGTATTGGTCATCAATTGAGTTATGGTTATATTCCATCCATAATCAAGTTTTCACAAAAGTAAGCATTTTGTTTCGTGTCTAACGTTCGTGTTAATGAGCATGATTAATTTCAGTACGTTTTCAACCATCGGTAAATACAAAAACTGCTACTCTCCCATAGAAATGCATTATTTTCCCCGTATTATTATTCTTGTTATTATGATATTATTATGATACAAAAATTCTTGTAAATATGCTAATTATCTAAAGTCAAGATTAAGATTTTGATGTCCAGGAATGTGACCTTAAATAATAAGGTCAATTTCACAATTCTATATACACGGGGTGATAGTGTTTAGCGCGCTTTCCATTTATATTAATAAGTATCTCATTATAATTGTTAGCAAACATACGATTCTCATCACAATTAACGCGTGTAAACACGACTCGATTTGTTCCCTAAGTTTCAATAGGATATGAAATAATTTTAAATAAAATGATATTTAGTTAACAAAACTATACCTCAAATTCTTTGCCTATAATAATAGCCGATTCTTTATAAATGGGACTTAATATTTGACTGAATCGACACCACTCGGCGTGAAAGTTGACAAATACTAACTCATGTTTTGCTGACAATTAGACAATCATTATTAACATTTTAAAAGTTTATTTAGTAATTATATTCATATGATATGATTAAATTTGAAGTTACAGATAATTGAATCATAGTTCTCATTAGTTAGATCCACGACTTGACAATTACTTAAACCATTTATACAAAACGCCTAAAATTGTTAAAATTAAATATGATTTTTAATAATCATATTCTTGTGAATATTAAGTAAATCTTTATAAAACTCACAAAAATAGCCACAATTTTGACGAAATTTGATAATTGTAAATTAAAATTCATTTTAAACAATAATTGTAAAAACAAAAAAAATTACAAAGATTGTAATTTTAAAATAACTAAACAACGTTTCAAATACTGTAGTGTTAGTGTAAATAATACACGCTTTGGCTTTAATTAAATTTATAATTAAAATTAGGTAATAACAAGATCTCAAACGAAGGAATAAGTTAACCTCACCTCAGATATAGCAATATGAATATAAAAGAATTAAAAATTAGCTAATACTGTACGGCTCATAGATTCTAGAAAGATTCTAGATTAATATTCTTTACATAGTCTCAGACTTTAATACACATAAAAATTATTAGCAAATTTAACAATATTTAGCAATACCAATAATTGACATTACACTATGTAACGTATTTTAGCTGTTTATTATTAACAAGGATGGAGTGATGAAATATATACCTAAATTTTCAAACTGAATTGAGGCTTAATTTACACGTATATATTTCAAAATTAAGTTGTAAAGTAAATGTAATTTTACAACATCTATGATATCGTTAATTGGATATAGAAATGACCGGCAATTATATCCCATCTCTATACTATCCCACATTTATTCCCCATTTTTAATGTTTATTTAATCACGATTTGACTGTTTTGTCAAAATTTTATATCCAAAAATAGACTTTATTATACGTACAAAAATATAGACATTAGTTTCAATTAAATGTTCACAACTTATCGCAGAGAACAGATTTAAGATACAATTTAAAATAAATTATCGATTTATTTATGATTCTCAAACATTAATCCTTTTCATACAATTTGATGAGATTTTAATATAAAATATAAAAACAAATCAATAGTGAATGAAAAATACATATAAAGTGTTTTATGAATTGATTGATTGATTGGAAAACATTTAATATTAAAACCTAAATAATAGCTAAAAAAGATGGGATCTGTTGGCCATCGACGGCGTCTCACACTCTGTATATATCCGATGACTGACTAAACCATTGAACGTCTGGAATCTCCGCCCAAAAGGCCGACAACTTTGTTAATGAGTGGTAACGACAGTATTGTCCCCAAAACGGGAACTCTGGTCAGGAAAGTGATGGCCGCCGGGAAGAAGCCTCTAAACAACATTATGAAGCCATAGGTCTCGACAATCATACCGATGAGCGGCCATCCGATCAGTACTATGAATATACCGGAGAAGAAGGCGAGCGATGCCTTCCACTTGTGTTTCTGGAAGAAGAACCAGAAGGTCCGCTCCACTCCTATGATGAACGCCAGACCCGACAGAAACAGTATGTTTCCGATGGCCAGCAAACCCTTGTCGAAGAGGAACATCACTCCCAGCATCAGGAAAGTCACGCCAAAGCCCGACAAACCCAACCCTATCTTTTGCATGTCTGTTATGCCCAACATTGTGGCCAATAGTCAACTAACAGATCCAAACAATCACTTCTTCGGCAAACTATATACTCGGCAACAAAATAAACGATTGTCTAAAGTGTTTATGGCTTCGGTTTTCAGCGATTTCTGACCACTTCTTGTCTTCCGCCGAACCACTCATTCATTCATTCACTTTATATAACACTTTGCGGTCGTCTTTAGTGATGGATAAAACATGTGTTCACTTAATAGTAACCAAACATTGAATGCATTTATCATTCAATTACCAGATATTCAATGAGTTGTTGTGTTTATAACATGAGCTGTCATTCAATGCAATCCTCACATCAATAACGCTATCATTTCTTATCATTCAATTGTTTTCTCACTATTTGTCACACAATTCAAGACTTTTATTAACTATTTATTACTTTATATTTATTGTGATTTATATGTGATTAATATTTTATGTCATAATTAATAAACAAATAACACATAACATTAACCAACCATTAGTTGATACAGTGATAACGGGGCCCCGTATGCGTCACGTGTGGCCCAAACAATGTATTATATAATTATTGTGTTTGTGTTTCCAAAACAATGCATTAAAAAAATGAAAACAAATAATCAAATGAATTAATCATTGATTTAAAACACAAATAGTTTGCAAAAACATTGAATGGATATTAAAGTAATGTATTGTTTGCTATGGAAATGATGTGAAGAGAAATGAAGTGAACAATGGATTCAGTGGTGAAGAAGTTTGGATTGTTGTCAATGAAGTGGACGTCGAGAGCGCTTCCGCTGACCAACAAGTCGTTTGTAGTGATTGTACTGATCCTTGTGTTCATGTCTTTCCTATTGATGGCATATNATGAAGTGAACAATGGATTCAGTGGTGAAGAAGTTTGGATTGTTGTCAATGAAGTGGACGTCGAGAGCGCTTCCGCTGACCAACAAGTCGTTTGTAGTGATTGTACTGATCCTTGTGTTCATGTCTTTCCTATTGATGGCATATCTGTGTCCGGAAGGCATATGTCCTCAGAGTTTGCGGTCAATACCCGACCATCACTTCGACGGCCGCTCTCTCGACACTGCCTTCAAAGACAATTTGGGAAAACCATTGTCTCAATCATCGCATCCTCTCTATCACTATAAGCTCTCTTTCGATGATATGATTAATGTAAATGAGTTTGTCTTTGATATCAAAGGCAATGATGTCATTGTCTTCCTTCACATCCAGAAGACAGGTCTGTATTTTGACATTAATATCATTTGTGGTGATTATCGCTAACCGATTGGTTGTCCCAAAAGGCGGAACTACTTTCGGTCGACATTTGGTCCGGGATTTGGATTTAGAAAAGCCGTGTCTTTGCAAAAAGGGTCGGAAGAAGTGTAAATGCATTCGTCCCGACTCTGAGGCCAAACTGTGGCTCTTTTCCCGATACTCGACCGGTTGGAAGTGTGGTCTTCACGCGGACTTCACTGTACATTAATAATCTCTTATAATTTCTATGAAGTATTAACTAATAAATTGTGTGATTGTTTAGGAACTGATGGGTTGTGTGGACAACGCTTTGGATGAAAGCGAAAGACAGCGAACAAAACGGCGATATTTTTATATAACTTTATTACGGGAACCGATCTCTCGATTCCTGTCTGAGTACAGACACGTGCAAAGGGGCGCCACTTGGAAGACATCGCGCCATATGTGCGGCGGACGAGTGCCCACTAAAGACGAGTTGCCCTCTTGTTATGCGGGAACCGATTGGCGAGACGTGACTATCGAAGAGTTCATTAGTTGCGAACACAATCTGGCCATCAATAGACAGACCCGAATGCTGGCCGACCTGACTCTTGTCGACTGCTATAACAAGTCATTCATGAGCGCTAAGGAAAGGGATGTAATACTACTCGCGAGTGCCAAAGAGAACTTGAGACGAATGGCATTCTTCGGTCTCTGCGAACACCAAAAAATATCGCAATATTTATTTGAAATGAGTTTTCATTTGAATTTTTTGCAGCCATTCGTTCAGTTGAACGAAACGCACAGTACGTTAACCTATAGTCACCTAAAACCAGATTTAGTGAACAAAATTAAACGTCTGAATCATTTGGACATTGAATTGTATGAATTCGCCAAACAATTACTTTACGATAGGTTTAAGAAAATGAAAAATTCTGACCAAAACTTTGGCTTTAATTACAATAATTTAGGAGTTAGTCATCAAATCAATAGAAATGATGTCTCCGACAAGAATAGCGCTAAAATCGATGACATTCTGTCTGATTATCATTACTATTGATATGCATTTCGAAAACGAGTTGTGAAACAAAACAATACATTTGACAAATAAGTGCCATAAATATTCATAAAGTTATTTAATTATACGAATCGTTAGTCTATTATTAGATTACATTTTGTGATACCAATTATAAATTAGACCGAAATATATATTTCCTCACTCAACGAAAACAATGATTTCTAATTTAATCATTCATTTTTAGTCATTTAATTGTAATGATTTAATACGAGAATCGAGTCGATTATGAATTATATTATTGCCTTACAATCGATGCATATCTTGAATATAAACAAATTGCGAAACATTTGATTGAATTAAATAATATATTCTGTATAAAGGCTTAAGTGATACTCTATTTAGTACCCGAAACCATATATTCAATCAAAATGAATACATTTGTTGTAGTTTTGCATTTTGTATGATTAGGAACTGCTGTTAAAATCAGGGAAAAGAGCTTAAGTATGGGAATACGTGTGAGGAATAGTGGATCAGCTCTTCTATGGCATGCTGTGTACAAAGCTTATCAAACATATACAGTAGCCTTTAATTTATATATTTTAATTACTATAGACTTTGTTTTGTATATATTGTATGTTTTAAACAATACTTAACTTATTTTCAAGACTTTTTAACTTCTTATTGTGAAAACATTTGCATTTCAGTTTTTAAATGTCATATTCATGTCTATAATTATTTACTATGTTTTACAAATGAATCTTAATATCAAAGCTTATTTAAGTTATCAATTGTTAATAATTATGTTTAAATTCATAAAATATATAATCTTTTTAAAAGATTATATGAAATACTCTATATTTGAGATATATTTAATTCCTCAACAAAACTAATACATGAGATTATGTCACACTTTTCACTCAATATGTCTTTTACATGACTTTTTGTTAATTCAAAGTTTCTATGAAATGACAAAATAAAATAATAATTTTATAAATTTGTTTTGAATATCAAATATTGTATAGAAATGGCGTTTAATTGGTTTAATGAACAGATATTTTTGGGACACAACACAATCGCAAACAAACAAATTATCAGGTTTTTGAGTATCATCACCACTGTTGGCAATTATAGCACTCGTCCACCAATTATAAGAGTTTTAATAATTTATTACAAAAGTTAACATTTAATGAATGGTTAATTTAATGTTTTTATAAAATATAAGTTTTATACAAACAATTCAAATGATATCTTTGGTGGCGAGTCGTGAGACAATTAGATCCCATTTTTCTGATTCACTCGACGTGTCCTTCAGTTTATATATCTATTAAAATATTACATTTAATTAGAATTTAAATAATTGCAAAACTATTGGGAAAATAAAATACACGATCGATAAGAGAGTCGTCGCGCAAACACTTGAGTGACTCTATTGGAAGCGCTTTGCCGTCAATTTGATCGAAAAAATATGTATTTAAGGTGTCGTTGATTTGATCCACACTTATGGCAATTATAGGCAACGTGTGGTCACTCGGCTTCACTCCAAACGTGTTCAGACTGTCTGTGATCTGAATTCATATGAAATGAGTGTTAATTAATGCGAAGACAACACAAAACAGACATAAAATACAGACATTTTTAGACAAACTTAAACTGAAGAGAATCTCTTTATTCACTTGTTTTGTAATCAATTTGTCAATCATTTTATAACCAATCGATTTATTGATCGCACATAAGAGGTGATTGACATCAAAGACCTGATCCACGAAAACAAAAAGACAATCAATAAGTGTTGACATCGGGTGTCAAATGAATGGTACGAAAAAACATACGGTCTTAGCGTTGATGAGACACAAGTTGTCGTTTGTTTGCATTAATTGAAGAATTTGTGGCAAATTATGGATACTTTCGTATAAAGCGATTCGTGTTTCGTATGAATCCAGAAATAATCGGCATTTCAATGGTTTGGTCATCACTTTTGGGACCCAATTAGTGATCGCAATTCAAATCACTTTCAAATCAATACAATTGCATAACATTTGTCTCACGTGTTGTTGTGTCACATGAGTTCATATTTACCACATTTGCCATCAAATATGTCACACATTAGCCAAACATTTGATGCATTCATTTGTGCCTAAAATGTGTTCATTTTGTGGGCAAATGATTGGACGTAATGTATGGCCAGTAATGAGACACCGATTGCCTCACACTTTGACACGAATTGTGTTTTTCACTAATTTTGTGATAAAAAAGTTGTGTTTTTTGTTTGAATTTACGTTTAAATGAGTTGTTATTGTCATTGATTTGATTGAAACCATGTCTTGGAGTCAATTGTGATAAACATTAGAGGAAGTGATGGCTAAACCGCCGCTGAAGACAGAGGTTCTCTTAGCCATTGATGAATCAGACGATTGGGATTCAGACAATTGCAGTGAATGTGATATACAATACATAAAGAGTGACACAATTGAAGAAAGTGTGACCAAAGTATTGGATTCAGTCATCGATTCGGTGGACACAACACCCAAATTGGATGACACGATGGATACGAGTGATGGCCAACACGTGGTCGACAGCGAGTCGAGTGTCCCGACGGACGACACAAACCAATTGAAACCACAATTGGGGACCCGTTTGGCACCGAAACGATGCAATTCTCCCGTTTATACTTCGGACTCATATATACCGCTCTCGACATGCGTTAACACATCCTTTTATGGCCGCAATTCACGTGATTTTTCCGGTCATTCAAAGAGAGAGANACGATGCAATTCTCCCGTTTATACTTCGGACTCATATATACCGCTCTCGACATGCGTTAACACATCCTTTTATGGCCGCAATTCACGTGATTTTTCCGGTCATTCAAAGAGAGAGACTTATATTCGTCCCATCGATGACGAGGTAGATGTAGACAATCTTGAGGTTAACATCTGTAACAAAGACTCGGATGACGACGACATGGACGAGGACTGTATGATTATCGACGATATGTACGCTCGTATGGATCGAGAGGTGAACAAAGAAGTGGCCGAAGAATTGCCCGAAGAGGGAGAAGACCAAGAATCTGATGATGAGATTCAGGTGATTGAAGAAAGTAATGTACAGATGAAATCAGAGAAGCAGATCCACGAGACTGAAGATGTGATCGCTTTGAGTGATGATGAAGAGGAAGATTGTGTGATAATTAATGATTCATTTACTGCTAAAGTTAGTATTGACTCATGTTTATTAAGTCTATGTTTTAACCACAAGTGACTAAAGACTAGTGAAGATATCAATTCATTGATTTTGAAATAATCTAATTATTTATGTTTTTCTAATTAAAAGCTCAACAAATTGACAGAAAGTGGACAAAAATCTCTTCCGAAACGGTCTTATTCTCCAGAATATACCTCACAATCATATATACCATTCTTAGAGCCGAGCACTTCATCCGGCATTAGAGGCGCTTTACGACAAACACATAAAACCGCAAACTCTTCGCACAATATTGACGGCTATTCCTCCCCTTCTTCGTCGAATAGAAATCTCTATAACCCTTCGGTTGAGTCAACCTCTATCTCCTTCAGCTCTAATCGGTTTAACAGTACATTTGAGCCAAAAATCGATGAAGAGATACCATTCCTATACAACGATCCAAAGCCTTCAACATCTAGTGATACATTAGTGGACAGTTCGGACGTTAATGACATCGATTTGATCTCCGAATGTGTGAAACTGGAGCGCAATGTTGTGAAGAATGTATTGAATCTAATTGAAGACCAGTGCACCGTTCCCTTCATTGTGAGGTACAGACAGTCGGCCATCAGTGGCATCGATGCCGACAAAGTTCGACGAATTAATACCATTTATAATGACGTGAAAAAAGCCAAAGAAAGAGCCAAAGAGGTTGAGGCGGCGCTCGCAAAACAGGACCGATTGAATCCACGGTTGAGTGCGGCTCTCAATCGGTGTAAGAATGTGTTCGAAGTCGAACACCTCTACCGGTTGTGTCGAAATGAAAGTGAATTGTCCGAAAAGTATCGCAATTTGGGTCTCAATGATAGCGCCATTTCTGTTCTCGAAGGCAAACGTCTGGATCCGAGCCATTTTGTCAAACGATTCGCTGCCGGTATTGCTTTTGAAATGTTTTGTTCATTGATTTTTACCTATATTTTGTTGCTTCCAGAACTGGACACTCCAGAAGCTGTAACGGAGGGCTGGTATAGATTTTGATTCAAATCTATATAACATTATGAATAATGCAAATAACCTGATGTTTAGGTCCGCCATTATATCTGATATTATTAGCAAAGACTGTGATGTTCTCGAGTTCCTAATTGGGGCGTAAGTTGAATATCCCGTGCAATAGATTTAAAAAGTTGTTACTTAATGACTGAATTGTTGAACAGTTATAAAAGGCATATCCCATACTTACAAGTGGTGCACAATGAGAAGAAAATTGAGCAATTAATTCGCGAAAATAATCCCAAAAACATTGAATTGATTCAAAAATATCGACGTTTCGAGTCGTTTAAGAAACCAATCGACAGAATCAATGCTCACTCTTATATGGCTATCGAAAGAGGAGAGGAAATTGAAATACTTTTCGTTTACATTGAATACGAGAACATTATTTTGAATGAATTGATCGAGTTTTGTATCGAGAAGTGGAACCGTTGTATTTCCCACTTTCTGATCAATTCGGTTAGAATTTCATTCAATAATCAACTCAAACCCAGTCTTACGGACTATATTCGCTGGGAATTGAGACACTCGTCGCACATGAAAGCGTTGGATGTGTTTCGCAATAATGTTAAACATTTATTGCTTGAGCCGCCTCTGAGAGGCGAGTGGGTTATTGGAGTGGACCCGGGAATTGATTCCGGCTGTAAGGTTGCCGTCGGTATGTATTGATATTTTATTATAAAAATGGTAATTGAAATGATTAATATGACTATTATACTGGACATGGTCATAGTCTCACCATGGGGCATTCCGCTCGAGTGCCGAGTCTTAAGGCTACGAACAAATAATGACTCGAGGTCTGCGGCCGCACAACTCAGAGCACTTATGTTGCAATACAACTGTTCGATCATAGCGTTGGGCAATGGGTTGGGCTGTCGGCGCTTCGAGGATCTGATCCTCAATAATATAAAGTCAGGCTTTTTTGAACAAATCGATGTCAAGTATAAGATTATAAACGAGTCGGGAGTCAGCTATTACTCGATTACCACTGAAGCGAAAGCCAATTTCCCGCACTTCAAGGCCAATATGATTGGCGCCATTTCTATTGCTCGAAGACTTATCGATCCGTTGAATGAATTGGTGAAAGTGGACCCAAAGCGCCTACAGGTGGGCATGTATATGGTATGTGTGATCAACTCATCCCTAACTATATGTTTATTAAATTTTGCGTTTATATAAAACAGCGAGACATCGACGGACATGAGATTCAAAGAGCTTTCGATGAAGTAGTGGTCGAATGCGTCAGCTTTTGCGGCGTTGATGTAAACATTGCGTCAATTGAATTGTTAAGGTTAGAGCTGATGGTCATTTTGATTGCAATACTGAATACATATCTATGATTGGACAGCAAAGTGGCCGCTTTGGAGCCCACAATCGCCCGAATGATCATTGAGAAGAGGGAACGCGACGGACTCATCACCAGTAGGTCTCAATTAAGGAATATCGATGGTATCAATTGGAAACTCTTTGAACAATGCGCCGGATTTATTAAAGTGATGCCTTCCACCAGACGATCACTACTGGACCAATTCAGACACGGGTTTGCATTGCTTTTGATTTATATTTGTGTTTATTTCGTAAACGTTTTATACCATTAGGAAAGAGAGTCCAAAAAAACGTGTGGCCACTTCTAGCGACGATTACGACCCGTTGGACTCGACTATTATACACCCGGAGTCGTACAGCAGTGCAAACGTTTACATTGAATTGATCGGCGCCTCAAAGGACGAGATCGGAAAGCAGTCGATTCGCGACAAAATCAAGAAGTGTTACACACTGTATAGTCTGCCAGAGATCGCGGAGTTGTGTAATACTATACCAATCAATATGAAGCTCATAGCGGAGGGACTGTCCAATAGTATTGATTTCGATTATCGCACAAATTTCGCACAAATCTATTTCCCGGAAATCCAGAAATTCCACGAATTGACTGAAGGCATGCAATTGAAGGGACGTGTGATGAATGTCACACCAATGGGTGCTTTCATTGATTGCGGAATTGTTGGCGGAATTAACGCATATCTCAACGCAAGAGAGTGCGAAAGACACGCCATTGACGTCAATGATAACGTTTTGGTCAAAATTATAAGCATTGAGAAACTTCTGCAACGATTCAGAGTTACTGTCGTTAATGTTTTCAAAAAGCACATGAAATTCGCGTAAATTTATTTTTAATTATATATGTTTCCCCAAAAACTGTTAAATTATTTAAATTATATTGATTTTCGTATCGAATTTATTTGAAACACAATATACTTTCCAATTTACAAAGAGATATTAACTTTAATAAATTGTTTGTTTGTTATAATGAAAAGTTTGCATTTATATATACACTACCGGTAGTTATTCACTGACGGTAAATGTTAGAATGTCACAAATTGTATATACAAAAATTTAAATTTTTTTAATTTGCAAAGTTAATTATCATTGTAAGCATGATTAAAATTGATATGATGTTACAATACTTATGTTGTTCATGATAAAAAGTGTGCATAACTGTTAATAAATTTTTAAATACGATATAACTTTTACCAATTCAGTCAGATTTGAGAAATTGAATCAGATTTCGATTTCTCTCATTCATGCCTTTCCATTGATATGTCATACGATATATTGATTCAAAATATTAAAGATTTAATTTTTATACTTTTACCGACATTAGCGGCCATACCCAATGTCATCTGACCATATAAAGTATATCACTAGACTCTGAACAAAATGTACTTTTATTTTATCATAATAAATGCCGGGTGCACTATGGGCATATTTTGAAAACCATCCTTTATCGACATCACTTTTGTAAATACTTTCCATTTAAATCAAAGTCTTCACCAGAGATTAGATAACAAGAAATGTAAATTTAAATTTATAATGATTTTATTTACATACGAATCAAATTAATTTGGTTATTATTTCAATGATACATGTTTATTGAAATAATACAATTGACGTGTAATTTAAATGACAAATTCATTATATTTTCTGTTAAATAAATTTTTAAATATAAAGTATACAAAGTTTACAATGAAATTAATTGAAAGATAATATTAATTAATACTGCAATCAGTGGTCACTCATTCTTTGATAAATATATTACAGCAAAGGTTTTGTATAAAAATTAATCAATTCGTTGTTATAATTAATTGTCAAAATGATTATACAATATATTTTCTCTACAAAGAAATATCACCCGTTATTATAAATAAAGCGTTCAAAATAATCTCAAGACTATATAATTCAATAACAAATGTAAATATTAAACAAAATTTAAAGTAAACTAATGTTAAGTTATGTTTATTACAGAAATTATCTCAAAATTGAGTAATTAATTGATAATTCGTTCGCAAATTCCGTTCATTTCATGGGATAATAAAATTTCTGATCGCATGAAGACTTTTCGGGACAATCGATGACCTGTTGATCAGTGGTATGATTGATACAAATCCGGATTTCATTGATTACGTGTTGAGTCGCGTTGTTCTTCCGTTTCACACAATTAAACACCACTTTATGTCCCAATTTGTCGTTAAATACTTTCTCGAAGTCTTTCACGTCATATGTCTTGTCATTTGAGGGCAATATTTGGGACGCTTTAAGCCATTCGTATGCGGGAAATGAGTTCAATAAAGTCAACGTATTGTTGAAGTAAACCACTTCCCGGTCGAGAGTACAGGTGCCGTGTTTTGTCCACTCGTGTCGCCACAGACTGTCCACAGTCTGGCCGGGGATCAGATTCGGCCAATCGGTTATCAGTCGACCCTTTATTGGCTCCAAATATTTCACGTCAAACGTCTGATTAGTGCAGCAAAACTCAGGCCATCCCTGACTCGCATACGTCGGCCACAAGCCGTGGATCAGCCACTTGTCCGACACATATGGCAGGCATTTCTGGCCGTCGTTATTGTCCTCGCATTCACTGGTCGGCCACCGAAGAGTCATTAGATTGAAGTCAAACGTGTAATTGTGGGAACATTTGTGTACAAATTGTGGCCGTTTTATGGCCGGAGTTTCGCCCGAAATGATGAGACATACGGTTATGAAGACTAACACAACCGCCAAACCCATCACCAAAACCCTTAACCAGAACTCATTCCTCTGGTGCCGACTGTCTCTCACATTCAATAACATAAACTCAGACTCGGATCTCATTGTGAGTCCCATTGGATCAGCTCTTCAGTCAACGCACACTATATAATAATAATGACAATAAAATACTTGCGATTAATTGATCACAAAATGAGTATTTGTTTCAAAATAATAGTAATTAATGAGTGAATGAATCGTTCATTGAATGAGAGCTAAAAAATGTAAACAAAGATCGCATTGAAATGCATTCAAAATGATTACAATCTCTAAACTCCGCCTCAAATCATATGATGAGTGAAAGTGTGTTTCGTTTGCATAATAGTTGTCATGTGTTTCACAACCACTTTAGCCATACTTATGACAGGAGGCGCCCACTCTATAGTACAGGCCCTGCACTACATGTACTACACGGGGTGAACGAGTTGTATAATTCTTACCGTATATTAAATTATAATGTATTTAAGATTAAACTATAATTAATGGTATGTTTTGAATGATAGGCACAAATCACTGATTTAATGAATTTATCAATCAATTAATACATTAAATGTCAAATTTTGTTGATCACGTCTTCAGCAAAAGTGCTTTGCATTCAAAATAATTTATCGATAAATGACTTTATATTTAATTCACTTTCAGATAATATTATAACTGAATATATTTTGCCAAATATTCAGCACTTTTATCAAATCAGTAGTTATTATAACTTTTTTTTAATAAAAATTTATTTGCGATAAATGTGTATAACAAGGCCTTTAATAAGGCGCTCTCACATTATCTCGCTCTCACGCTCCCTTTTTCTGCCCCCCATTGACTCAAGCCATACAAACGCATTCATACACACCCACAATATATGCAGGGCCTGTACTATAGAGTGGGCGCCTCCTGTCATAAGTATGGCTAAAGTGGTTGTGAAATACATGACAACTATTAGGCAAACGAAACACACTTTCACTCATCATCCAATTATAACGAGGGAGCGAGATAATGTGAGATCGGGTTATTGACATTATTGTAAAATGATTTTATGTAATTCAACACTAATTTAATAATTTGAAATATTTTATACAATATGATTAATATTATATATTTTTGAAATTCTATATAATTAGTTTGATAATTAAAATGAATATAGCCCAGCTCGCTTTGTCAGATTATGGTTGAGTATTAATAGTTAATCATGTTGGTTTATATGAATCAATCTATTGGAATGTATTCCTCACATGTTTTGTAAACATAATTTCATATATTATTGAATATTAAATTTCCATTTCATATGATAACTGATTTCCTGACGTGTTATTGTCGGTGTAGTGATTGCCCTGTGATTGTCCTTGCACATTAGCACAATTGCATAAAACTAATTTAAAGTCCATAGTTTCATGAATCTCCTTTTGTCAAAATAATTATATGCTTTGAAATATAATAAAACTGTAATATAAGATACTATATAATGGATAACGTAATATAGTGGATGTGTTGTATAATATAATCAATTCTTCGCTTTACTGTACATTCAATTGCTCTTATATTTCGCTTTTAATGCTTTTGAGACTAAAAAGTTTTGAGTACTGATTATAACATCAATGAAATTACTGGCGATAAACATGTTATGAGAAGAACGCTATAGTTTTTAATACATTTTCTCTATATTTTCACTTATTTATTGAATAAGCGATTCTTTACTACAGATTTAAGTTAAGATGAATTGATAACAAATATTCAATTAAGTTTAGTATTGTTTTACATGACATCTCACTTCACATATTGAGTACTATTCGCGCAAATTGTGGCTAAAAATAAACGCAATCCTCAAATCAAACATACATTTCATTTATACCCTAATGTAATCTCAATGTCATTAAACTATTAACTGATTTATGCCTTTCAATAACAAATGATAAGAAAATTAAGCAAAAATCCCATTAAATTCCGCATAAAATTCAATGAATAGGTTTTTTCAATGAATTTCACCCAAAAATATAGTCAAGAATTTCACATAAAAAACGTATTGTTTTTCCAATTCCTATGAATTCCTATAAAATAACATTCAATTCATAAACACTGTAACAATAAATGTGCGAAAAGGGGAGACATTGAATGGTATGGGAAATGCGTTAACTCTACACACGTATTGAAGGGGTGACCAGTTTTGGCCGTAAAATGCATAACGAGTTTTGTGTGCAAAGAGTTGTGCATTGAGTGCAGAAATGTAAACATTGAATGAATGAGTTGTTCAACACGTCATCCAAATTGCAATACATTTTCCTATGATTTCATAATTATTACATATTTTTCATTCATATGTTATACACATTGCGAACACAAACACAACATCTGTTTAAAGGGACTAATCGTACGATACGTTTGGCGTTAATTATAGGCATTAATTGTTTGCCAATGCATTGAATGCATTGATTGTGTTGTCGATTGTTGTTGTGATTTGTGGCCCAAAACTAGCCATCAATTAAAACACACAATAAATAGTGATTTAATAATTAAATTATTGTATTAATAATGCGTTGAATTGATTGACGCGAGAAATCACTTGACTTTTGGCCAATAAATGGTTGAGATATTGATTGCAGACTTGATTTGCTGTTGAAAAACGCCAATCGATTCCCATATATAAGAGATATATTTCTTATCACTCAATGGTTTCGCTTTAAACTCATCAATGCTTTCCTTTCAATCATTTATTATATAATTTATTATTCATTTAATTTGTATTTATTTGTTATTATTTGTGACCCGAAGTAGTCGTCCGTTTCGGTCGCAGAGAAACCAATTGTGAAGTGATTTGCAAATGAAATTGATTACCATTTGTGACATTTTAACGAAACTTATGTTTAGATTCAATACAATTGTCACTCATTTATGATATAAAAAGTGTGACAATATTTGCCATTAATTTTGTCATAAATTAGTTATTAATTACGAAAATCAAATACAAGAGTGAATAATATTGAAGAGAAGAACTGATCCCAAAGAAAGATGTCTTCACGGAAGCGACGGAACTCTTCTTCGAGACACAACAACTGCGATGGAAGTCCTCCACAGAAGCGCCCAAATGTCATAAAACCGGCCATTTTTAGCGACGACAGGGAAGCGGTGCAAGAGTTGTCTGAATGCGATTACAGCATAAAGTGACGCTAGAATCGGCCCAAAAAGGTCTCGTCAACCGACGGATCCGTATCTACGCGGACGGCATATACGACATGTTCCACGCGGGACACGCCAGACAACTGCTTCAGGCCAAAGGCGCCTTTCCCAACGTGTGGCTCATTGTCGGCGGTATGTGTTTTACTCACCACTACTTACACCACAATTGGCTTCATTTTATCACTCATTAGATATTTTATTGATTGTATTTTACAGTAAACAGCGATTACAAGACCAACAAATACAAGGGAAAGACTGTTATGAATGAAACGGAAAGGTATGAAGCGGTCAGACACTGTCGATACGTGGATGAAGTGGTTCGGGACGCGCCGTGGGTTCTCACCAGTGAGTTCTTAGAGAAACATAAGGTCTGTGTCCAGCGGTTGATTGTTTTTGGCGATGAATTAATGAGTGATTTGTGCAATGGATTGCTTTCACAGATTGATTTCGTGGCTCACGACGACATCCCCTACACGTCCTCCGATACGGACGATGTCTACACATTCATCAAAGAGAAGGGTATGTTCTACACGACTGAACGCACGGAAGGCATCTCCACATCGGATTTGGTGTCCCGTATAGTCCGTGATTACGACGTCTACGTCCGCCGAAACCTCGCCCGCGGCTACTCTGCCAAAGAACTCAACGTCTCTTTTCTTAATGTTAGTCCACAACCAAAGCATCACTTTATTCTTGATTTGTGTTCTAATGATTTGGTTTTGACATCTATTTAGGAGAAGAAGTTTATTCTTCAAAACAAATTGGATTCGTTTAAAGATAAGGGAAAGACTTTTGTGGAGAATTTAGGAGAGAAACGACACGAATTCATCCAGAAATGGGAGGACAAGTCCAGAGAATTCATCAATAATTTCCTTGAGTTGTTTGGACGCGAAGGAAGAATTGTATGTCTTGTTTGTCACCACTTTTCTCGCGAAACATTGATTATTAAAAACATATATTGTATTTGTTTTGTAGAATAACTTCTTGAGCCAAAGTACTGGTGCGCTGAAGAGAGCGCTCTCTCCAGAGCCGAGTCCGTCGTCGAGTCCCACCCGAAACGGTTCTGACTCTCCGGACGCCAAACACATGCGTTTCATTTCTGCCGACACCGAACCCAATCAGTTCTCCGACGACAGCAGCGATGAGGAGACCGTCAAATACTTTACGCCAACTCACGAGCGCTCTCTCGAAGAGTTGCATTAATAATGAGAGATATTTATGTTTCAAAATAAATATTGAATATTTTTGTGTCCAAACATTTTTTGTGCAACAAATTTAGGTCTAGTCTTAAAGAACTCCAAAAAGCAAAGTTTGTGTGACAGTAAAAACGTGTACAAAACGCTCTTATATTACCATATATTGAGTTTAAACCCACCGTTTGTTTACTGTTTCCTAATCTTATCCCTTATTTATCTATTTTTAGCTTAATTTGTGGTTTAATTATTTAATAGGGTTTTAATTTTCTGATTTGAACTGAAAAATTATATATATTTTTACAATCATCTCATTTGAAAATATATTTAATTCTTAAACAATAGGGTATATAAGACTTAATGATTGTTAACTATTCTGTTAACTGTTATTATTGAGAGTAAAGTGTTATTTAAAATACTTATTTATAAATTAATTGTGAAATTTATGAATATTATAAAATAAAAGTTTTCCCTTTTGAGAGTAAATTTACAATTAAGATATTGTTGAATGTGTGTAAAAATGGAAATATTAAATAATAAATGAATTTATTTATTGAAAAAATTGTGAATTTAATTTTTAATCACTATTTTACTCACTTGTGATAAATGTCGCATTTTTAGGTAAAAATTTTATAAATGTAGCAACATGTTTCCTTCATATGTAAATTTTGAATTGATTTTACCTTAAATTATAATTATTTTTATGCAAATGTAAAATATTTTCAATGGTTTAAAATAATTGTCTAATTCTTTACACAAATCTAAAGTCATGAATGAGTTGAAGGCCTATAGAATAGAAACATTTAAATTACTGTTATTATAGTTTTAACTAATTTTGATATTTTGATAATTTTAAAGGTTTTTATAATAAAAGTGTCAATTAATAGAGTCGTCGACTTCAATGTCTTCACCGCTCGGTTGAACATAAATTCACAATTTATTTAATTTTTATACACATCTCAGTTGACAGACAATAATAACAATAATAATTTTGCAAATTATTTCAATAATTGTTTTAATTGTGCAAAATGTTTATTATAATGTTTATTATAATTTCTCATTAGAAATATTATAATTCTTTTACAAAACTATTTCTATTAGAATTGCATTTTTAAAATAACGCCAATTATTGAGATAAGTTTTAATTTTAACGAATCTAATAGTAAATTAAATGCATTTTCTTAATATTTGGTCGAAATAAATGATAAACAAACTAAAGCCAAATGAATGGTTAAAATAAAATTAATTAAAACAGTTTTCTTTAAAAGTTAATCGAATAAAAATAAATAAAATGCAAAGAATTTTGTAAAAATATTTAGCAATTAATCCATCATTTATAACATGTATTTAATGCAAGTTTTCATTAAACAATGGATTCAATTCTTGAAATAAAAATTTGATTTTTATATGAATTTTGTTTAAGCCGTGAAGAATGTAATTAAAGTTAAGCTAATCGATCAAAATTGGCATTAATTGATGGATTAGTGTTTGTGTCAAACAATTCAATTGAAATTAAGGGAAACCCGATATCAAACAAAAACTAAATTATAACTGCTTTTGAAATGAAGTTAATTTATTGGCAAAAAATAACTCCAATTATTGCGAAAATGTCTCCTTTTTATTGAATTTCACGGTCTATTCAATATTTAGTTTTATTAGTCTTATCTTAAATATAATTTGAGTTAATATTTGAACAAAATTTGATGACTTTTGCAAACATTTATTTGTTTATTAAAAATAAATTTTTAAATATTTAAATAGATTTTAAAAGAGTTTTTCATGTAGTTTAAGATTATATCAAATAACGTTAATAACTGATAAAATAATGTTAATTGCTTATGATTTTGAATTATTTAAACGATTTTAATCACAAAAAAGTGATTATCAAACCATTGACTAAGAATTGATGTTTTAATCTATAAACTAAAACATTGATTATTTGTATTATCGGTCGGAAAAAATCAAATTAATTGTAAAACTAGTGTTACATTACATTAAATTATTTCTGTTTTCTTTTTGTATTTGTTATTAATTTAATGATTGAATTCAGGACTCAATACATATTTAATGTGCATTTTTATGATGAAATATAATAACTATTATTTTGTATTATTGGGAAAATTGTTTATTTTAAGCAATTTTTCAAACAAAAAATTCAATTAAAGTCAACAAAGTGTGAATTGAAGCCAAAACTGCATTTAATCCACAAATTAATCAAAATATTAATAGAAATTATTTCTATTTCACAATCACGTCATTATATAATTATATTTTTACTCAATTTTTTGCATATAATAAATAAATAGTTTTTCCAATTTTTACAAATAGTTTTCCGTTAATAACATTTATGATAAAAAGGAGAATATCTTTAAGCATAGAAATTATATTAATTAATTAAATTGATTATCAATATAATGATAAATTAAGTTGTTTATAAATTCTAATATTAGGATAAAACTTATCAAAATTATATACACTTTATATTTTGTTACTATTTTCTAATTAATTGAATTCTTTTGAATTACTTTCAATCATTTTTCCACTGAATTGATCACATCTACAGATATTCTGTATTTAATGAGATATATTTCAAACAATTCACAGATAAATTCAATGCAATGATTATATTGTAAATGATGTCTATTTTATGCAATGAATAAATTAGAAACGAATTACTATTGAGAAAAGACTACATAACTTATTATTATAATAATATTCACCCCTTATATCAATGTCTTCATTAAGTTTTCAATTATTTATTTGAAAAGATTATAACTTTCAGTGAAAGAAATTTATGACAAAAACGATTCATTCATTTTGTATATCGATTTCACTTAAGAGTTAATAAGAATTTCAAAAACGATTAACATTTTAGTTGCCGTTAATATAAGTTAAGTTATGTTTCTCTTAAATACTGGCTATTAATGCGTTTTGATATAATAATTGACTTTCAAATGATTTTGTGTTTATAAACGAAGTCAAAATCGGTTGTCATTCAAGTAGTTATCAATAAATTTATGGCAAAATTCATATTTTTATATTATTTTTTAAAACTTATTTTTTTTGAAGTGGATTCACATTTGAGTCAATAATTTTAGAGATGTATTTGAGATAAGCATTAAATGATTGAAAATATTTCTTCATTGCATAACAAATGTTAGCTCTATTTAATTAACACAAAATATATTCTATAAAACATTTTAAATAATTATTATTCATTTAAATAAATAAATAATTTAAATTATGTGCAAAACAATTACCATTAAATATTTATTGTCAACATTTATTTTTGTTAATATGTTTAATAAAATTTTTAATTAAAATACCAAACATTTTAGAAAAAAATATCGTTAATATTGATTACATATATGATGAGAGATAAATTGAATATATTATAATTCCACAAATTACTTGGTTATTTAGTCAGACAAATATTAAATTAAATAATAATTACTTTTAAAATAAATGAATTTAAAAAACGACAAGTTAAAAAAACAAATTTTTATTATATTTGATTTTACAAAATATGACATAAAAGGGATGTCTGAAACTTAAATGCTATATAAATTGCAAATTCATTTATAAAATATGTCTTTTAAAATGAATAAAAATCGGATCCAATAGTGACACTACATTTGGGAGCACACGGTATGTGTATTGTATACATACCTATATATTTGCCTAAATTGATGAAATATTTTCAAAACAAATAAATTATATTAAAATTCTTATAAACATTTAATTATAAATGTTATCTTAAATTGCAACTTATCTTTAGATAATATAAGAAAATACAAAATAAGTTTTGAGCCAAAAAATCATTGCATTTGTCAATCACTAAACCTATACATCAAAATAATTTAAAATAATTATTTCTCATCAGATTTTGTCAGATTTCTAACTAAAGACATGACAAAAATCAAAATATTTAATAAACTAAATATTATACACAATTAGTGAGCGAATTCCTCTCAAAACATGCATTGGTTTGCTTTTCTTGGCTCAAAATATTTATTGATTTCATATATTAATTACAAGAAATATTTGTTTCAATCCATGATTTAGTCAAAGAAATCACGCGAATTAAGACACAAAAAAGATGAAAAACTTTCGGCAAATTTTGTAAAGCACTCAAAGAGAGAGAGAGAGAGAGAGAGAGAGAGAGAGAGAACTAGAGATAATTTATTATAAAACATATTCGTCTAAAATAATTATATAATTAAATTGTTATATACTTTATATAAAAAATTGTTTTACAATTTTTATTAGATTCTGGA